TGTTATACTCAGGATATTATTCTGTTATACTCAGATTATAATTTTGTTATACTCACATTATACTCAGATTATAATTCTGTTATACTCAGTGTCGAGAACAAGCTCGAAATTCCACTAGAAATAATCTTTGTACCGAACAATCGAATTTAGCAAAAGGTCAAATTTAAATCAATGTATTTATATTTAAGCAAATCATGTTAATCATTTATTGTAAGTTTTATTGTAAGTCAAATTCCTTAATGACTCATAGATGGTAATGTGTTAACAAATTCCCTTGCTAATCTGTCATATTATCTAATGCACATCTGCTCCAATCCTTTGTTTGTTATCTAATTCCGTTTACAAAAACTATCTATCCCATAGCCTTCCTCTTAGCTTCCATTGTATCAATCGCTTTATCTCTCCACCCTCAAATCATCCTATATAAGGGCAATTACTCAACCGCAGTTTATCCCCAGCATTGTTACCAGTCTCCCCGTTCTTAGCTCATCCTCGTCACTAAATTGTCATACTACTGATTGCTTGTTTGTTTTAATTACCCAAGATAAAGCACCCGACTCAATGTGCAAGTAAACCAACCCATTCAATCCATTCACAACACCAATCCAATCAATACATTCACAACAATTTTATGGTGCCACGAGCCGGGAACATGTCATCCATCATCATCAGAATCGCAGACCAAACAAAACGAAGATTGTATGAAGTCCTCAACGAAATCAAGAGTCTGAACTTGGATTCGGTCGACCAAACGACAACAACCGACGAAACAATCCGTCTTCATCAGGAACGGAGAAGGATCACCCAAGAAAAAATCATGCATATCCAAATATACATAGAGGCGTTGGAATCGGTCAATACAGAGTGGAAACAATTCATCCAGCAGATTTCAGTCTCAACCAAAAGAAAAGAAGAAGAAGATCGATACCTTCAGGTAAACGACGATGAATCAGGTATTACCAACTTAATTTTACAAGCAAAACAAACTGTAGTCATTTTAAAAATGTATCAAAATGATTCGGAGTTCATATTACAACGGCTAAATCAGTCTATGGTAAGGGAGGAAACAACTCAACTCAAGGAACCCACACAAGCGGGTAAATACCCTACAGTAAATCTCCCACAACTACCACTGCCCACATTCAGTGGGAATCCAAGACGCTGAGGAATTTTGGAATAGCTTTGATACAGCTATACATCAACAAGCAATTCCCGATATCCATAAACTAAACTATTTCATCTCATGTCTCAAAGGAGATGCCCTCCAAGCTATCAGAGGTTATGACATAACTCCGGAGAATTACAGTATCGTAAGAAATGTCCTCGTCGAAAAGTTTGGGCAGCCTTACGCCATCAAACGAGCCTTGTTCACCGAATTATACTCCATCAAAAGAACGATAGAGAGTGGAAAGCAACGCTTGAGGCCATTGAGCGAACACTCGACAATTGGAGGCCATCGGTGAGAATTTAGAGCAGTCCGGTATCGAAATAGCTGTGGAAGGGAAATTGCCAACCTGGATCCTAGAACAGGTTTACAGAAGAAAGAGGCAGGAATCGTGGTCTGTCACCAAACTCCGAAACTTCCTCACGGAGCTTGCATCTGTGAACGAAGAAGTAGTACAAAGCCAGTCCCTATGGTTTAAAGGGAATATGGAGAATCAATCTCCAATAAAAGGCAAGCCAAGACCACGACACGATCCCAATGAGACTTCAGCCTTAACAACCTCTGTTCCGGAGAAACCCATCATCAAAGCCCTATCAAGACCTGTGCACTATGCAACAAGAATCACTGGGATGAGAGTGCCAGATTTATCCCACTCTCAAAAAAAAGGCTGGAACGTCTGAAGAAACTAAACGCTTGCCTCAACTGCTTCAAGATCGGACATATGGCAGTGCAAAAACAAGAAACGGAATTGCTTCCACTGCAAGGGTCAACACAATTCCGCGCTGTGCCCTAACAAATTCAAGGAATGCCCAATAAACCAGAGGATCCAGACTCCACTCCACGACAAATATAATAGTCGAAAAAGAAGAAAACGTGACAAGCGCATCCTACTCTTATGCAAGCAGATAAATGTGTTCAACCCAACTAATCCAAATACTCAACAAAGGGCTTTAGCCCTATTCGACATTGGATCACAATTATCCTTTGTTCAAGAACTTAGCCAACAACTAATGCTTAACGAAACAGATGAAGGGAAATTAAACATCGCTTCATTCGGCAAAAAGACCCAACACGCACCTTACAACCAGAATTGAAATAGGGAAAAAATCGAAAGACTACAGTGTTGCTCGAAGCGAACACCTGGACTATTTAACAAACAAACTACAATAGTCAACTTAAGTAAAGCGAGATACGATCCTCAAGGAAGTCCAACAATTATTTCCCAGTGAATGAAGCACCGGATATATTAATAGAGCAACCACTTCTTTCAATTCATCAATTTCGACAAAGCAGAGAATTCTGCAATCGGGATTCACACTGCTCCACACTAAATGGGCCGATCCTGGCTGGGTCTGGCTTATACAAAGAAAATTTTCCCAATTCACGAATGTCCTCACAATAGTTTACGCCGCTACCGATCAGGTTCCAGATTTAAGTCAATTCTGGAAACTGGAAACTATAGGCATACAAGACAAACCCGAAAACAATGACGATTGAAGAAGCCTATAAAACAATTTAAGCAAGATTAGAAAATCCGACGGACGATACCAGGTCCATGGCCATTAAACACCAGTTCCAATTAAGCGACAATTTCGAATTATGTCTCAGACGTTACAGTCGTTAATCAAGCGACTTCACGCAACCAACATTACTTACCACATACAATGAAACAATCAATGACAGTTAAGATCCAATTCATCGAAAGGTAAGTCATTTACAACCATCAATATTATCCATTACTTGCCCCATCAGAAGTGGTAAATCAGATACACCACGACAAAGTCAGAATAGTTTATGACGCTTCCGCTCACCTCAGAGCAGGAAAGCTTAAACTGTCTTGTATCGAGGCCCTATCACCCTTCCCGATTTAGCTGAATATTAATTCGACTAAGAACAATGAAATCTCATATTAGCTGACGTCGAAAAGCCTTCCTACAATTAGAGTTGCTGCAACGGAAAGGACTGCACAGCTTTCTATGGGTCAAAGATATTCAGAAACAGGTGGACAGAGATAATTTAATATGCTATCGATTCAAAAGGTCCCCTTTGGAGTGATTATCGTCACCCTTTATTATCAGCAACTCTCAATTATATTTGGAACATTATGAAACTTGAAACTGCACGTGAAATCAAGAAAATCTCTTACGTCGACAAATTATCATCTTATCAGCGAGCCATGAAGAGGAAGCCTTGAATAAATATGAAGAAACAAAATCATTTTCAAGGATGCGTCATGAACATGCGAGAATTCCTCTCAAATGACCAGACATTCAATGAGCAACTACCCAAGTTCGGACCGAGCACGAATGAGTCAAATAAAGAAAATATTAGGGATTAAGTGGAATCCACACAAGGATCATATCCAAATAACACTAAATCCATGGACCGAACAAACAACAACAAAAAGAACTATTCTACGGTTCATCGCCTCACATACGACCCACTTGGATTCCTAGTACCACTGATAGTACCGTTCAAGATATTTCTCCAAGAACTCTGGAGAAAAAACATACATGGGATCAACCCCTCGACAATCAATTGATTGAAACCTGAACAATCTTGTGGTAAAACGCCCAACTCATATCAAGGAAATCCCGCGATTCACAATCGATTATCACAACAAATTACCTTTCATGTTTTCACCGATGCATCTACAGTGGCATATGCTGCAATAGTATACGCCCATCAAAATACGCATACGTCGTTACTCTTTGCTAAATCACGATTAGCACCTATTAAAGGAATGACGATACCAAAGCTAGAATACTAGCTATTCTCATCGGTGTACGCGCAGCTCAGTTGTCATCAAACAAATGCAATTAGAAAATCCAAAGGTAGTGGTATGGTCGGACTCTCGCTGTGCACTACATTGGATACAAAACAACTCTCGCCTCCTACCAAATTTATACAGAATCGTGTGGAAGAAATACAAATGGCGAAATTCGCATATCGGTATATCCCAAGCGAACACAATCCAGCAGACATTGCTACCAGAGGATACCATTCCGACTCGTCTAATAAGTTACGAGCCTTGGTGGAGCGGGCCCACATGGATCAATGGTAATGAACCGAATTGGCCTCATTGGGAATACGACGTTCCACAAGAAGAGGATAACGAAGAAGATAAGAATATAGTAGCAACAACAACCACAGAAGAAATCATCAATACAAATCGAATCAATCTCCTGGAAGCAAAACGATTCAGTAAATGGACAAAGATGATAAGAACAACAGTAAGAGTACTAAAATTTCTCAAAAATTATCTAAAGGAAAATTAACCTGGTTAAGCAGCGTATCAGAAAGGAATCCGATTACACCCGAGGATTACAATCTCGCGGCGGAACTACTAATAAACAATCCCAATCGGAGGTATAACAGCAGAAGAAGTCAAAGTACAATCTGCACTATGCAGAAGGTACTGGAGATTCCAGAGCAGACTACAATTGCCGAACGACAGGGAATACTCATCCCAACAATATATCTCCCCAGACACAATCGAATGACAGAACTAATTATTCAACACCACCACGAAACGACGCATCATGGAGTATTCCTCAAACTATTTCCAGAATAAGAAAGCTTTACTGGATTCCGAAAGGAAGGCTGAAGTCAAGAAGGTGTTAAACCGCTGTATGAGTTGCAAACGCTGGAAAGCCAAGCCATCAAATTGCCACCTATGCCAAATTATCCGCAAGAGCGGATCACTGAATCAAGAACGTTTGGATGAATTGGCCTCGACTATTTGGGGCCGATTACTGTGAAGATACAATTGGAAAAAGCAAAGCGATGGATCGCCTTGTTCACATGCTTCACCACCAGAGCGGTACATTTGGAAATGGTGGACGATCTATCAGCGGAAAGTTTCCTAACTGCATTAAGAAGATTTGTTGCGCGACGCGGCTATCCCGAACTCATTCTTTCGGACAATGCCACCCAATTTCAGGCAGTTTTTCAAGCCATAAAAACGCAAGAATCACAACTCTCTAATTTCCTTGCTGAGAAAGGAATCAAATGTAAGACTATAACACAGAGCACCATGGAGCGACGGAATCTACGAAAGATTAATCGGCTAACAAAAAGGAGTTTAAGAAGAGCTATCGGTAGACGACTGCTTAAGGAAGGGGAACTAATCACACTGATTATCGAAGTGGAAAGCATTCTTAATACTCGCCCCTTAACTTACGTAAATTTCGACGACTCAATTATTTTGCGACCAATAGACTTCATCATTCCCAATGCTTCTTTGTCTATACTGAATAGCAATAACGACAGAGAAGACGAATTCTCACCTTATAGTCTAACCACACAAAAAGGTTACTTCAGCACTGGTCGAATACCCTAGAAACATTGAAAACTTTTGGGAGATATGGAAAGACGAATACTTGAATAGCTTAAAGGATCGATACCAATTAGAACATAAATCTCCAAGAAATGTAGAAGAGACGGCCGATTGAAGGAGAAGTGGTACTGTTAGATGAGCCTCATGCACCACGTGGTACATGGAAACTAGCAAGGATAAAGAAATTAACGTAGCCAATGATGGTACGTCAGGAGCGCTCAGATCGAAACATCGTCAGGAAAACTTCTAAATCGACCTGTAAGCACGTTGTATCCACTGAAGTTACTCCAGAAGAACAGTCTACTCCGGAGAACCCCGCGAACCCATCAGAGAGAGCAGAACCAATTATCCAAAACCGAAACACCACAACTAACACGAGATTTCGAGTGAAAGTGGTGAGGAGCAACCTATTTGCTCATCGAACACGGAGCCAGACAAATTTACAAAAAAGGGAGAAGTCAAATTTCGTTTTAACCAACTTACTGCTAACAGTAGCAATATCGATAATTCTACAAGCAGCAGAAACGAAGGAATGCAAATGGACATCAGGTGTTGAGAATCACAATGTTTTATCCTATAAACCCCAAATCTATCCATTAGAACACTTTTCGCTCTTCCTCGGGAGTGTCGAGAACAAGCTCGAAATTCCACTAGAAATAATCTTTGTACCGAACAATCGAATTTAGCAAAAGGTCAAATTTAAATCAATGTATTTATATTTAAGCAAATCATGTTAATCATTTATTGTAAGTTTTATTGTAAGTCAAATTCCTTAATGACTCATAGATGGTAATGTGTTAACAAATTCCCTTGCTAATCTGTCATATTATCTAATGCACATCTGCTCCAATCCTTTGTTTGTTATCTAATTCCGTTTACAAAAACTATCTATCCCATAGCCTTCCTCTTAGCTTCCATTGTATCAATCGATTTATCTCTCCACCCTCAAATCATCCTATATAAGGGCAATTACCACTCAACCGCAGTTTATCCTTCCCAGCATTGTTACCAGTCTCCCCGTTGCTTAGCTCATCCTCGTCACTAAATTGTCATACTACTGATTGTTTGTTTGTTTTAATTACCCAAGATAAAGCACTCGACTCAATTGTGCAAGTAAACCAACCCAATTCAATCCATTCACAACACCAATCCAATCCAATACATTCACAACACTCAGATTATAATTCAGTTATGCTCATAATCAGATTATAATTCTGTTATACTCAGATTATAATTCAGTTATGCTCATAATCAGATTATAATTCTGTTATACTCAGATTATGATTCTGTTATACTCAGATTATAATTCTGTTATACTCAGATTATGATTCTGTTATACTCAGATTATAATTCTGTTATACTCAGATTATAATTCTGTTATACTCAGATTATAATTCTGTTATACTCAGATTATAATTCAGTTATGCTCATACTCAGATTATAATTCTGCTATACTCAGATTATAATTATGTTATACTCAGATTATAATTCAGTTATGCTCATACTCAGATTATAATTATGTTATACTCAATTATACTCAGATTATAATTATGTTATACTCAATTATACTCAGATTATAATTCTGTTATACTCAGATTATAATTCTGTTATACTCAGATTATAATTCTGTTATACTCAGATTATAATTCTGTTATACTCAGATTATGATTCTGTTATACTCAGATTATAATTCTGTTATACTCAGATTATAATTCTGTTATACTCAGATTATAATTCTGTTATACTCAGATTATAATTCTGTTATACTCAATTATACTCAGATTATAATTCTGTTATAATCAGATTATAATTCTGTTATACTCAGATTATAATTCAGTTATGCTCATACTCAGATTATAATTCTGTTATACTCAGATTATAATTATGTTATGCTCAATTATATTCAGATTATAATTCTGTTATACTCAGATTATAATTCTGTTATACTCAGACTGTTATTCTGTTATGCTCAGATTATAATTCTGTTCTACTCAGATTATGATTCTGTTAGATTGCAGTTCTGTTATACTTAGATTATAATTCTGTTATACTCAGATTATAATTCTGTTATACTCAGATTATAATTCTGTTATACTCAGATTATAATTCTGTTATACTCAGACTATAAATCTGTTATACTCAGATTATAATTCTGTTATACTCAGATTATAATTCTGTTATACTCAGACTGTTATTCTGTTATGCTCAAATTATAATTCTATTCTACTCAGATTATAATTCTGTTATACTCAATTATACTCAGATTATAATTCTGTTATACTCAGATTATACTCAGATTATAATTCTGTTATACTCAGATTATAATTCAGTTATGCTCATAATCAGATTATAATTCTGTTATACTCAGATTATAATTCAGTTATGCTCATAATCAGATTATAATTCTGTTATACTCAGATTATGATTCTGTTATACTCAGATTATAATTCTGTTATACTCAGATTATGATTCTGTTATACTCAGATTATAATTCTGTTATACTCAGATTATAATTCTGTTATACTCAGATTATAATTCTGTTATACTCAGATTATAATTCAGTTATGCTCATACTCAGATTATAATTCTGTTATACTCAGATTATAATTATGTTATACTCAGATTATAATTCAGTTATGCTCATACTCAGATTATAATTCTGTTATACTCAGATTATAATTATGTTATACTCAATTATACTCAGATTATAATTCTGTTATACTCAGATTATAATTCTGTTATACTCAGATTATAATTCTGTTATACTCAGATTATAATTCTGTTATACTCAGATTATGATTCTGTTATACTCAGATTATAATTCTGTTATACTCAGATTATAATTCTGTTATACTCAGATTATAATTCTGTTATACTCAGATTATAATTCTGTTATACTCAATTATACTCAGATTATAATTCTGTTATAATCAGATTATAATTCTGTTATACTCAATTATACTCAGATTATAATTCTGTTATACTCAGATTATAATTCTGTTATACTCAGACTGTTATTCTGTTATGCTCAGATTATAATTCTGTTATACTCAGATTATGATTCTGTTAGATTGCAGTTCTGTTATACTTAGATTGTAATTCTGTTATACTCAGATTATAATTCTGTTGTACTCAGATTATAATTCTGTTATACTCAGATTATAATTCTGTTATGCTCATACTCAGATTATAATTCTGTTATACTCAATTATACTCAGATTATAATTCTGTTATACTCAGATTATAATTCTGTTATACTCAGACTGATATTCTGTTATGCTCAAATTATAATTCTATTCTACTCAGATTATAATTCTGTTATACTCAATTATACTCAGATTATAATTCTGTTATACTCAGACTTTTATTCTGTTATGCTCAAATTATAATTCTATTCTACTCAGATTATGATTCTGTTATACTCAGATTATAATTCTGTTATACTCAATTATACTCAGATTATAATTCTGTTATAATCAGATTATAATTCTGTTATACTCAGATTATAATTCAGTTATGCTCATAATCAGATTATAATTCTGTTATACTCAGATTATAATTCAGTTATGCTCATAATCAGATTATAATTCTGTTATACTCAGATTATAATTCAGTTATGCTCATAATCAGATTATAATTCTGTTATACTCAGATTATAATTCTGTTATACTCAGATTATAATTCTGTTATACTCAATTATACTCAGATTATAAATCTGTTATACTCAGATTATAATTCTGTTATGCTCATACTCAGATTATAATTCTGTTATACTCAATTATAGTTATGCTCATACTCAGATTATATTTCTGTTATACTCAGATTATAATTCTGTTATACTGAGATTATAAATCTGTTATACTCAGATTATAATTCTGTTATGCTCACACTCAGATTATAATTCTGTTATACTCAGTTATACTCAGATCATAATTCTGTTACACTCAGATTATAATTCAGTTATGCTCATAATCAGATTATAATTCTGTTATACTCAGATTATAAATCTGTTATACTCAGATTATAATTCTGTTATGCTCAGATTATAATTTTGTTATACTCAGATTATACTCAGATTATAATTCAGATATGTTCATAATCAGATTATAATTCTGTTATACTCAGATTATGATTCTGTTATACTCAGATTATAATTCTGTTATACTCAATTATACTCAGATTATAATTCTGTTATACTCAGATTATAATTCTGTTATACTCAGATTATAATTCTGTTATACTCAGATTATAATTCTGTCATACTCAGATTATAATTCTGTTATACTCAGATTATAATTCTGTTCTACTCAGATTATGATTCTCTTATACTCAGATTAGTGTAAGAGATTATAATTCTGTTATACTCAGATTATAATTCAGTTATGCTCATACTCAGATTATAATTCTGTAATACTCAGATTATAATTCTGTTATACTCAGATTATAAATCTGTTATACTCAGATTATAATTCTGTTATGCTCATACTCAGATTATAATTCTGTTATACTCAGATTATAATTCTGTTATACTCAGACTATAATTCTGTTATGCTCAATTATAATTCTATTCTACTCAGATTATAATTCTGTTATACTCAGATTCAATTCTGTTATACTCAATTATACTCAGATTATAATTCTGTTATACTCAGATTATAATTCTGTTATGCTCAGATTATGCTCAGATTATAATTCTGTAATACTCAGATTATAAATATGTTATACTCAGATTATAATTCTGTTATGCTCATACTCAGATTATAATTCTGTTATACTCAGATTATATTCTATATACTCAGATTATAATTCTGTTATACTCAGATTATAATTCTGTTATACTCAGATATAATTCTGTTATACTCAGATTATGTTCTGTTATACTCATTTATATTCTGTTATACTCAGATTATAATTCTGTTTATACTCAGATTATAATTCTGTTATACTAGATTATTCTGTTATACTCAATTATACTCACTACTCTGATTTATCGTTATAATCAG